GAATTTAAAATTGAACATATTAAACCAGTGGTTCTCAACCTTTTTGGTTTGTGACCTCTTTACAAACAAAGTGTAATTTTTCAGATGTCTGTGAGTTATTAGCAGCACAACCGCTCAGATATTTCAATTCAAACGTACAATATGTCATTTCTACCTGCTCGCACATCAAAGTACTAACAAAAGATTAAGTTTGGTGACGTTGTGAAGTAGCGCAGGATCATGGGAGTTGTTGTCTTCACCACCATTGTCGTCATTGCAGTCAGCTTCTCCCCATTAGGATCTTTCAGTGTTCATGGTTCAGGAGGTTTCTACCGGGAGCCCAGTTATCCACAGAGGTCTCCTCCTCTCCAAAACAAACAGACCCGCTGATTAAAACCACTAAACACACTGAATAAAGCAGTTCCACCTTAAAAATCACTGCTTCTCCCACACTGTTGGACAGACAGAGGACGTCCCAGAGGGGCGGCGAGCCGAGCTGCTGCTAATGATAGCTCAGCTTGTTTCTCTGATAACTTTAGATCCAGACGTCCGATGACTAAAATCCTTCATCCGGTTCAAATCTAGAGTTAAAAAGCACCAAGAGCTAAACAGTGGATGGTACAAAACAATTAGTGCGAACATAGGCAGGATATGAACTCATTTTTTTCACTCACACAGCTACTTTTGTCCCCTTTCCTGTGAATATTTGAGTCCAACACCATCAATGTCTGTGTGCACCTGATTTCAAGCGTGGCCATTTGGAACAGCCAGAAACACTTTTTTCTTTCGATGTGCTGGGACAACACCTCACCTCTGCCACAGTTGATCAAAAATTCTGGCTATAGTCAAAAATTCAGCCCAGCGTATGAATACCTGTAGCAGTATATGTCAAAGCCAATTGTGAACCTCTAGTGACGTCGCCCATCAGTTTGTAGAGTACCGTTTTGAAGCCTAGAGTTTGGCATTATGGCCGTCGCCATTCTGTCAATGGCCACGCAGTTTCGACATCCCCATAGCAGGAAACAGCCAATGGAGTTGCCCCCCACTGGCCATTACATAGAGTGCATGTTTAAGACACTTCTGCATTGGCTTCACTTCATAGGCCGGGAAGCTCTGTCCTTTATATATAGTGTCAGTGGTCAAAGCGAAGACATTCCAAACCAACTTCCCAAACATGCTAAAATACTTGGCAGACAACATGGTTTGACATTTGTGCGCAAGGTGAGCTACAAAAAAGCTACTGCGATCATTTTTGTGGGTTTTTCTCAAAATGGAATCAGATACATCCTCCTCGATTAAAAATGAACCAAGAGGAGGAACACAAAATCTGATCACCTCTGGAAACAAAATCCCAGTCCTGACCAGGGTTTCAGTCACATCAGCCCTCTCACTCCCACTGCTTCCTGTTGCTCTCTGCTTTGATCACAGTAATAAACACAAATAAAAAAAAAAAAGTAAGGCCGAAAGATTCCACCAAACAAAATCTCTTCATTAGTTTGAATTTCCATAAAGTGGGTTGTCAACACTCTCCTTTTATGAGCGTGTGTGTGGGTGGGTGTTTCCCAGTATAAGACGTCCAAATGAACTGCCTACGTCTTTAGAATGAGAAATACCAAACAAGGATGCCACAACAAGTGAGTCACGCTCAAATGCATGAGTCACTGTTGATCTTGTGTGTTTCTTACCCACGAGAAGATTATTACTGTTTAATTTTACTGGCCTTCCAGCTGGTGTGATCAGTGTGATGGAAATGCAGCCACATGACCTTTTGACCCCAAACAGCTGAGGAGTTTCATTTCAAAATGTGATGGATAAAGTTGATGTCCACTTATGGGTGGGATTGTTTTAGGCAGTGTGTGAATTATACCATGGCTTTCAGGGGAGTTCACTTTTTCCACTGTTGTGGGGATCTGATATTTTCTGATCTGAAGTCAGTGATATTGTGCAGCCACATTTCAATGGTGATAGCAAGAATAGCAGATTTAAGTAATTTTAAAGTGAATTCAATAAAGTTCAACAGTAGCCTGAGTTCTCCTTGTTTCTAGTGCTGAAGGTGCAGACGTGCAACGTTTCAGTTCCCAAACTCAATGGAACTGGAAGTTTCCTTCAGTTTTTGATGAATTATTTCATTTTCTCTTGCTATTTCATTGCAAAAATGTCTAAAAACATCACAATGTGCATTATTTCTGCATTTCTGCGAGGATAATGTTTTTTAGGAAATTAGCATTGTCTTGGTTCCTTTGCCAAAAAGCCAATGGGATTTTTCCATTTTATTTTGGAATTTTGCAGAAAATCAACTGTGTTTTTGTTCAGCAAGATAATCTTCACAAATGAACACCACTTTTATGATTTTTGAAACATAAATTGAATCGCCAGAAGTAAAAAAGCAAATTTTTGGCTTTAAACAAACTACACTACAAGTTGGAAAGTCTGAGTTAGAAAAGTTTGCAAGAGCACAAACACCAAGACTGTTACAGGCGAACCAGTGAGTAGATAAGTCTCTGTGCTGACATTTAAAGGACCAGTGTGTAGGATTTAGTGGCATAGAAGCCACCCATAGAAGAGGATTCGTATTTTCAGGTGATTATACACTAATGAAAGCATACCTATGAATATTCAATTTCTAGCCACTTGTTAGCAACCGCCTTTTTAAAGACACGTAAATGCTTCATTATTCACGGGTGGGGTATTTACTGACAGATTTTATGTTGTAGAACAAAACCTGTGTTAAACTGGAAGTTATGAACATTATAGACATAAATGCTGAAATTGTTCCGGTATTCTTTATACAACTGAACTTTCAGTGTTTAGGGGAGGTTTGCTTTAGTTTGAAATTGTACTCCTAGTGGAACTGTTTATATATCACTTTTAGACGTTTCAACTTTTCTGCTCACTTGCTAAACCGTTTTCACGTGCTTCAACTCATAACACACACTGAGTGTATATGTGCACACATATGAATCACATTATTCTCAGGCAGCAAGATGATGTTGAGAAGACGTCTTTGACCAACATAATGTCTTTTTCAGCTCATTGAAAATACAGCAGTTACATTTGAGAGAATAGCAGCATTTTGTGTTTTTTCCATTTGTTTTTGCCTTTTTTTTTTTCTGTGATTTGGTTAATGTCCACCTTAATGAGTTTAGAGTCAATGTTAGAGCTTACGTGTTGAATTGTGAGGCAGCCCCTTTGTCAGTTTCTGTAATCAGATCTTTAAGATTTAAACAGTGTGTGTTTCTTAAATACTGACAGATGGATTTCAGTTAAAACACTGAAATGTGCACCATGGAGCCTATGTGTCTGCTGGGGACTACAGGTTCCATCTCTGGGTTTTCCCCTCATTGTCAGAGCAGTTGAGATATTACACATGTTGACAGTGCTGAGGGCAAAGATCATTAAAAGTTAAATATTCTTTCTGTGGCATGTTGGGTATTGTAGTGCATCGTCCTTGTACTTAGTTGGATTTAAAAGTAATAAATTAATTCACAGGGCGACCATCCTCAGTTATATGAAGGGATGCGACAACAATAACAACTCTAATCTGTCAATGTTTGAATGAAACTTGATTTTGAGTCAGTGAGAACAGTACTGATGGTTGGTGGACTACATGTCCCACAATGCACGAGGTGTAAACTGTGAAGCGCCGTCTGGTGCGGACGTGTTTGACAGTTATTCAAAAATGGGGCTCTGAAGTCGTAAAGACTGAAGTCCCATCCTGTCTGAAAACTCAGCGCACACATTGTCATCACCGTGTTTGCTGTGTTATTGTATGTGTACAAACCCTCATGTGTTCATAAGCAAAGAACACGAATGTATGAACACGTGAAGGAGCAGAACTTTAAGTGGGCAATGAACGTGCTGTCGTGCTGACCAAAGAGAAGGAAAAAACGTGAGGTCTCACTCGGCCATCATTTCCGGCTGCCAAAATGTCATCAACATAGGCGACAACTGTGTCCTCTGTCTGGAGCTGTGTAGCTGTATCACATTTGTTGTAGGGGGGAAAAATATTTGAGGAATTCACTCCATTCTTGTTCAGACTGAACTGTTCTCAAATTCTGTGGTAACAATTTCATTCATTTGGATATTTTAATGGTATATACACATAAAACAAAAAGATTTCCACGGTTGTCTTAAGAAGAAGAAGAAGAAGAATAATAAGAAGAAGATATACTTTAATAATCCCCTAGGGGAAATTGTTCTTTTCACTCTTTTTATCACACACACACACACACACACACACACACACACAGGCTGAAATACACACTTCATGCACTTGTGGACATGCAACAGGGAGAGAGATGGTAAATGGTAAATAATAAACCATAATAACCAAGACATTGCAGCCACAGGTATTTATTTACAGATATGGGGGAATAAACATTGTTTTTTTTTTTTATTCATTATTTCATTTGTTAAATGTTTTTAAAGGACCAGTGCGTAGGTTTCAGGGACATCTAGTGGTGAAGTTGCAGATTGCAACCAACTGAATACAGCTCAACCTTCCCAGTGTGTGGGAGAAAGTATGGAGGCCCCAAAACCCACGAAAAACACAAAAGGCCCTATCCAGAGCCAGTGTTTGGTTTGTCCAGGCTACTGTAGAAACATGGCGGACCCCGTAGAAAAGGGCCCACTCCCTCTGTAGACAAAACCAGCTCGTTGTAAGGTAACAGAAACACGACAGTTCTAATTTTTAGGTGATTATACACTAATATAAACATACCAATGAATATTATATTCCATTTCTGACAGTAAATCCTCCTAAATGTCACACACTGGACCTTTATGGGGGTTTTGTTACGTTTAGTTATTTTATGACTTAACCGTCTGTATGGAAGGACACTTTTGAAAAAAAAAGTTGAGTTGAGTTTTCATACGTATAATGACGAAAATGTGTATTTATGTTTGTACAATGTAGTGAAATCAGACTCATAATAGTTTCAACCATCCGCCGGGCCTTAAGGTCAGAGAGCGGTCCGCGGAGTGAGTCGTCTTACTAACAGACGATCTTTGGCGCTAGCTAAAGGGCTACAGCTAACGAGCGTCCAGTGGAGACCGGAGTCACCGGACAGCCGTTCCTCGCTTCGGTATGATGCCAGGTGACAGCGACATGACCTCCATCGTCCAGAGAATAGCTCGGCAGGCTCTCGTCACCTTCAGGAGCCCGCCTCGGGTCGGCGAAGAGGCCGCTAAATCTTTTTTGGAGAACCACAGCAAACTAAAGAGTCTAATGACGGAAGTACGAGCCGCCGACCTGAAGCTCGTCCCGCGGAGAGCCGACGACAGCTCGCCCGGAGTGCCTCCTCCGCTCCCGTACCACCACGGCGCGCCCCCGGTCACCTACATGCACATCTGTGAGACGGACCATTTCAGCATGGGGGTGTTTCTGCTGAAAAGCGGCGCCTCCATCCCTCTGCACGACCACCCGGGGATGCACGGCATGCTCAAAGTCATGTACGGCAAGGTCAGGATCAGCTGCTTCGACCGGCTGGAGCGGCCGGCCGGCAGTCCGCAGGTGGCCCCTCCGCTTCCCCCGGCCCAGATGGACGCTCTGCGGCGCTCCATGCTCCGCTCCACCGGGGAGTACACGGAGGAGAGCGGCCCGTGCGTGCTCTCCCCTGACCGGGATAACCTCCACCAGATTGACGCCGTGGACGGCCCGACGGCGTTCATGGACATCCTGGCCCCGCCGTACGACCCGGACGACGGCAGAGACTGTCACTATTACAAGGTTCTGACAGAAGCGGAGGTTAAAAACACAGAGCAGAAGGAGAAGGAGGTCTGGCTCATGGAGATCTCACAACCCCCGGACTTCTGGTGCGGAGGGGAGCCGTACCCGGGCCCGGAGGTCCGTCTCTGATCCATCTGACTGACCTGCAGCCACCAAATGTCTTCTTTTCTCGGGCTGGTCTGGTTTCTGCACCCTGTAGTGGCACAAGGCCGGGGCCTGGGGCCTGGGGCCTGGGGCCTGTGGACTTGGTTGGACAAACTGAACTGAATGAAGGGTCTCTAAATCATTAATCCATGTGTTAGTGGCACAGGAGGTCATCACAGACACAAATTAGAGGGTCTTAATTGGACCAAGGAAGTCCCTGTGCAGAACAGGAGACTACCTGTTCCTTTAGGGAAAATGATTCAGCACAAAATTAGGTGACCTCATTGTAAGGCATTGTTAACAGTGCTCTCACAGCTGCAACTCTGACATATAATAACTCAAGTTTCCACTTCACTTGGAGCCCCTGGCAATACTAAACAACATCCCGTTGATCCTTCCCTGTTTGTGCATGAAGGCTGTGACTGCCAGGGAAGCAGGTAGTGCCTCATCTCTTGCTTTTAATGCACTCACAGGTCCTGTGTATAATGGGAACACCAAACGACAAACTTCAGATACGTCTTTTACCCCCAGAAAGGGAATGAAACCACACTCTGCATTTGTTTCTCTGACCCTTATTCTCTGACCCTATCCAGCTCAATTTTGGCATCGCTATCTTTCTCCTGTGTTGTCGGTGTGGGCAGCAATCTCTATATCATGTGTGTAACTGAGGAGAGAGAACACTTTGGAGGCCTCCTGTCACACACTTCTGGGTTCCTCTGATGGATTTAGTGTCATTATAGGTGGCGTCATTTTGTAAGTCAGTACAGGAGCGTATGGATGGCAGCTGAAAGGGTTATAAAGGGAAAAGCACCAAAATTGGGAGTTTCAGATGATGTGAGCAAATAGGCTAAAATAAGACCCTGTAAGGTATTTTCAAGGAGAGATGCCAAGAAATGACAAACTGATGATGTGCAGGGTGCAAATGCTGCATTCAAGAAAAGTCAGGAAGTCTGAATTTCGCTCCCTGCATCTGATCAAAGTCGGGGCTTCAAAGTTTTGATTCCAAAATTGAAACATTTGGGGCAGACTTCCGTACCTCGACGCTTTCACACTAAGCATTACGCAGACATACTTTTGATAACCTCTAAATACACTAAATTTCAGTATTGCATGAGCCTCAATATACAACAAGTACTTGCTGGTGGTTTAAAGGTCTGATATTTATTTCAAATGTCTGGTGCATGAGGGATGCAGTGCATGCAGTTTTCCACGCTGCAGCAGTGAAACATAGTAGTTCAATATATAATCTACTAGATTGGAATTCCTGACTTCTGACTGCACCTTGAATGCAGCATTAAAAACGTATGTGTCCTGACCTGAGCTGAGTTTCCCGGGACCCTGGAGTGGCTGTGTTGATGTGTTTTAAATGTCTTCCTGCTTCAGGCTTTGTGACGTTTGTTCCAGTCGGATAAAGAACTGTGTGAATCAGAAATATCTAAAGCTGCAAGTTTTCTTGTCTCGCGTTGTGTTTAGGACTCGACAAACTGTAGACTGCCTTTTTTTTTTTTTTTTTTTTCTTTTCTGGGAAGAGTTTGATCCTCAGGGCTGTTTGTGATCCGTATCACTGACTGATTGTTGGAAAGATGTGCACTAAATTAAGCTTCTGAGTACAAATTTTGGTTTTCACTGTTCGGCAGGAATGTGAGTGTGATTATAAAGTCAGGATCATAAAAAGGTTTGAGTTTGGAATTAATCAGACATGCAAGGTGAATGTGAGGATTATGTTTAGAAACTAAGTTTATGGAGTGAAAACTCTGAAGCTAAACAAACTTCTGAACAAATTCTCTGCTACTTAAAATCAGCACTTAAATTGTACGGTATGTATGGACTAATGAAAAACCATGCTTGTTCTGAAACTAGTGCTGACATGAAAGTAAAGCACCTACTGTCATATTAAAATCTGTTGGGGATTTTTGGAGAATCTGGCTTATTGAAATTGTCTGTTTGGATCACTTTTATTTCAAACTACATTGTAATTTGCAAATAAAACTTTAACTTTTCCAGAGTTATTACAAAATCCTCCTTTGAGGACAGCGACTGAGACTGATGTGCTGTATGTTGTGTCACTGTGGGAGTTTAGACTATAGAGGTCTTCTAATCAGCTGATGTTTCATCAACAGAAAGCTCTTTAAATCAGAATCTGATTCCCAAATCCAGTTGGTGTAAAATGAACAGTCACTGTATCGATGTATTTTGCCTATAATGAAGATTTTCTGTCTGTTCATATAAAATGTGCTGTTTATTTTTGCCTAAACATGTCTCCTTTATTTGCTTCAGAATGTGATGAGCTCTTATTGAAAGAACAAGAAGGCCGAAGTAGCTTTCTAATCAAACATGTCGGCTCTATAAAATCTACTGAATCGAGTTTCCCGCGTAAACTTTTTTGTGCTTTCAATGCAATTATTTAATTTGTGTCTCCAAGCATTGAGCAGTCCTTTAGTGGGTTGATGGTGAAATATCTTTGTTGTGAGCCCAAGGTTAAAGGTTATATATGAGATTTAGAACCGTAATAAAGCAAACAGCTATTCTTTATGTAAAGATATAGTGGAGTCATGGTGTCTCCCTCTGCCTGTGTTGCTATCACATCCTCTCTGTGGTTTGTTTCCATAGCCAGTCTGCTCCGTGTGCAGCTGAGCAGAGCGACTGAAACTGCTGTTTTTATCAGTGCTGATTGTTGGAACAGTTGAAAGACTAACAAAGCGTTTTGGTGAGTTTTTATCTGTTTCTCTCTTTGAATGAAGTAACAATGTACGATGAAATGTGTTCTAATTGTACCAGTTTTGTCTCTGGAGTCTGGTCTGGCTCAGTGAATTTCAGTTTGTTTTGACCAAATCAGAATTGAGATTGTCAAAAGGACCAACAAAGACTGTTTTGGTGAGTTTTATTTAGTTTCTGTCTGGTTTAAAGTGTTTTTTTTTTTACGATTTATCTGCTAGGTAAAATGACTGGTTTTGTAGCTGGAGTCTGGTCATCCGTAGGGCCCATTGTTTTGGTCTGAGATGCTGGTACAGTAATGTGACGTGTAGTGGCAGATGAATTTCGTATATATATCCTTTTTAAAAGTGAGTTAAATGGAAAAGAGTCTTTCACACAGCAGCTGATGAGGTGTAAAGGAATACTACGGTTTTGTGAGGAGTTCAGGCTTTTCAGTGTGTCCATTTGAGACATCCATTAACACTTTCACCTTTAGACATTGTTGGATGACCCATATAAAGGTGGGAACCTTTACAAGGCGATTCGGTTCCAATTCCTGGTGTAACAATGAGTGTTAATTCAATAAATAGAGAAGGAGGCACTAGTTTCAGGCTTTTAATCCAGTGCACCGTGTGCCAAAGCATTCACTGCGTCCTGTACACTAAATTGCAACATGACACATTACTGGCAGTTAAGCTAAGTTCTCACTGTTGAGTTCCACCTTCTTCGTTCGTAACACAGGATTATTCTAAAAGAGAAACTTTTGAAATCTGTGAATTTATTCAGAATTGTAGCAATTAAGACTCATAAAGCTCATGTGAATCAATGTTTTTTTCTCTAACGTTACAGTTTGTTTGAAGGACTCTGAGGCCTTTATGCCTAAAGTTCTTTTGCACCTGTACACGTTCATGTGCCGATGAAAAACCACGTTCCAGCTGCAGCAGTGTCCCAGTTTCACACTGTATATACTGTAAACTCTCAGGGCCTGTATTTATCTCTAGTCTATTATTAGATATTGCCCTTTACAGTATCTTATATCATTGCTATATGTTTGGATCAGCAGAAGCCTCCTTATTTTATGAGATATTGCAAACTCAACACTACATCTGACTGTTTCACATTAAAGCCTCCCTGTAGTTCAGAGGTTATAATCCCTCATGTGGCCAAGAATATGGACACCCAAACATCACACCATGACCACGAGAAACCAAAACCATATCCATTAATGTGTCCATATTTTACATGAGGCACTATTCATTTAACTCAACAAAAAATAAACAAATGGAAAAGAACAAGAAATTGGTTTCACTGTCACACTCCAACCCCAGTTTGACCCCCCGACCCAGGGTTCTTTGCTGGCCAGTCAAGTTTTTAAGTTAAAGTTAGTTTATATTTAGGATGGGCAGGGGTGTCCTCTTAGTTTTGGCCACATAGAGTACTACTTTTGGGTGCTGGTGTTCAAGCAGCTTAAATGAGTTTCAAAATTCATTATTGATAAAAACATTTCAACGTCATGGTGGCGGGAATGGACATGAAAATTCACGATTCCATCTGGGCCAACACCATCTGCTGTGGAAAAGCTCCAGAAGAACCACTAAAATGGCACAGAGGTGAGATTGTGTTGTAAACATATGCCAAAATAAAGAGCAGTGAACAACTTAAAGGTCCAGTGTGTAGGATTTAGTGGCATTTGGTAGCATAATTGCAGATCGCAACTCCCTCGCTTCACCCTCCCCTTCCAAGCAAGAAACTACGGTGGCCATGAAACGCACTCTGAAAAATGTGAACGCCCCTAATTAGAGCCAGTGTTTGGTTTGTTCTTTCTGGGCTACTGTGGAAACATGGCGGATTCCTTGAATGGCGATCCACGTCGTCTGTATAAACGGCTCATTCTAAGGCAACAAAAACACAGATTCCTATATTTAGGATATTATACACTAATGAAAACAAACCTATGAATATTATATTCCATTTCACTGGACCTTAAAGGTACCATGTGGAGTTTTTGACCACTAGTAGCACTACGGAGCAGTGTTTTTGTAATTGGGTCCAAATGTGCATATGTACTGCCAGTTTCACGCTATTCTGGTTGACAGTTTTAGGTGGCAATGCAGAAATATAGCAAACTACCACCAAACACAACACACACCCTGCTAGCAAGAAAACATGTAATCAATGCAATATTTAAAATATTTGACAAAATCTGCTTCACAAATGATTTATGAGGAAGGAAATGCGTTTAACATGTTCATTAGAAAACATTACTCCACCAATTTAGCATTGCACTTCTATAATACTGTCGGACAGTTCCATTTCTGCCAATAGACCTAAATGGTTCCCTCTAGACCTTTGTTAAGAGCAACTGCACAACCACAACAACTCGACAAGTCAACATTTATTTGCATCGACAAGAAGCATCAGTCCGGCAGAATAAAAGCTTTAGTGCTCGACTTGTTTGCATAAAAATTATAAAACACAAACACAGAACTTTTATTTTGTCCAGTGACTCTTTCTCTCACATTCATCGGGTAGAAATGCTGGTTGGATCTTTACAAGTATCAACAGGTCTGTGTGTGCATACACCTGAAAGCAGCTAAAAATAAAATCTAACCAGAAAGTAACACTCTCATAAAATCCCAATCATGTGCTGTAATAAAAGCAAAGTCAGCTCTTTGTAAATGAAACATATTAATATATATAATCGTCTCAACATTTCTAATATGATACAAAACCAGGTTAAAAAAAGCTTCATTTTGCTGCATCTAGCCAAAGAAATTTTCACTGAGTTCGCCACCTTAGCCCCATACCAACCTTTCAAAATGGTGGCGTATTTTAGTGCCTATACAGTGTAGCATCATTAGTGATATTTAGCCTGCTTCATCACAATACAAAATACTGCCTGTGCGTATCTGTCTCATGTAACCCTGAAAATCGTCTTTTAACTTTAATATGAGTTGATTCTTATATATTTTCAGCTACATAATGGTGTTGAACATCACCGAATTTACTGTTGAACATTTGAGGAGAAGATGTGGGGATTGCAGCACAATTAAGAATTGGATGATGAGGTGGGACGAATCCGAAATTACAGTTTTGTCACCACAAAAACAAAACTGTGCAGAGAAATAACCTAGTTGTGTCATTACTGTAGTTTAAAGTGAAACTGATTTTGATTTCGGAAATAGATGTTTAAGTGAAATTGTATCTGCGTGTGTGTTTGGTGGGGGAAAAACTGAGTGCACAAAGTTTAAGTGAGGGATCCAAAAGTGCCCTCTGATACCATGGAGAGTTTTGTGAAATTGACAGGTTCTGTGCATTCTAACTGCAACTGAAACCAAAGCGCCCACACAGCTGGAGGCAGCAGCAGCAGCAGCAGTACAACCCCCTGCATCACTCAGACTCTTGCAGGATTTTGGTCTCATCTTTGCAGCCTGAATTGTAATTGAATCCCTGAGAATGTGAAGCGTAGACAGTGGACACAATGCCTTGCCACAGAGCACTAAAGCAAGCTGCAGCTGTTCTACACACCGACACCGACTGCCATCGCTTTACTGTATATATTCAGTAGTGTAAACCAAACTCCCTTTACATTTCATATAATTTAATGTTCTGTTAATAATCTGGACCACTGGCTGATGAGAGGAATGATGTTTTAGTTAATGTGATAAATACTGAAGGGAGGCATGACCAAACACACACTCTGCTTCTGATTCTCCCTGATTTTTTTCAAGATATGGCTTCCAAAGAGATTTCTTCCATTTTGTTACAAGATTCAGTTTGGGCTTTTGTTGGCAGGCATGCTGTGGAGCTCATTTTCCGATTCAGAAAGTTTACATTCAGCAGCATGGGGCCGTGCGCTCTGAGGATTAGGACGCAGAGGACTTTTTCTCCTTCTGCCGGAGGTGAATCTTCATGTGCCTCCTCCTCTCGTCGCTCCGGGCGAACTTTCTCCCGCACTGGTCGCAGGAGAACGGTTTCTCCCCGGTGTGGGTGCGGATGTGGGTGGTGAGGTGGTCGCTGCGGCTGAAGTTCCTCATACAGATGCGGCACTGGAATGGTTTGTGTCCGGTGTGGATGCGCAGGTGCCGGCTCAGCTCATCCGACCGGGAGAACCTACGGTCGCAGCTCTCCGCCGGGCACGGGTACGGCCTTTGGTGGACGGGCGTCTTGCTCGGACGGTTCGGGTACTTCCTGGGTCTCAAGATCGGCCTGAGAGGGAGGTTCTGGTGGCTGGGGAAAGCGGCGGCCATCGGACCATCTGCGACCGGCGAGGGCGCACCGAGCGTAAAGTTCCTGATGGTGTTGAGAGGCGTGAGAGGCGGAGGCACCCTGAGGGAGTCTAGCGGGTACGGGAGGGATTTCCTATCCGGGAAAGCCGTCTGGATATCTCTCTGGCAGCTCTGCTGGTAGAAGCCTCCGTAGTCAGGCATGATGGACAGCAGCGCGGCGCCGTCTACAGTCGGTTTGGGCACAGAGTTGTAGGACGGGGGCGGGTGGTAGGACACGGCGCAGGTTGACGTCGCCAGGTAACCCCCTGTCGACGGATCCTGGTACATGTCC